GGGGGGGGGGGGGGGTACTCTTACGTTTTGCATGCCTTAGCGGTTAGACCATTGACCACGCGTCCTCGAGAGGACGGAGCATTGTTCCCACAGGACCAATCACCGATGGCCAATCGTTCCTTCCTACTTTGCCAAAGGTGGCTCAAAAATGTCTTACCTAGTCTGTCTATCCTAACGATATCCCTTCCCGCCATTTCAAACCACTTCCTACTCCCCAGTACAGCTACCGTCCTCTCCTCTCTATTCCATGCCTCAAACATCTCCCTGTACGTCCCTTGTATTTTTCCCAGCTCAGTCATGTACACTTCCCTCTCCTCTTCGTACCACGGACATTCCGCGACTACATGAACACGGTCTTCGCATTCGAAGCCGCAATCACATTTGAACGTGTCGTCTTCGTCGTCTACCGTCCTATGTCTTCGTCGACGTTCTCGAAGGCCTATGTCCCCGGTCCTGAATTTTACCTTAAGCTTTGTCCCTGCATCCATTGGTCCATGTAGGTAGTCCTTGAACCCTATTCCTTCTTTCAACATTCCGTACACTTCTAGACCCTCCTTATCCTCGGTTTCTTTCCTTAGATTCTGTTCTTCTCTCTCGGCACAAGCAACAGATATCTTCTCCTTGAACCCCTGTAGACCCTCCGTTTCCAGCGTTTCATCTTCGTAGATGTCGAACCCCTTCCATACGTCCTCTACAACCTTGACCCATTCCGTGGGTTGTCTACCCCTCTTTCTGTTTGCCCACTTCGCCTCCCATACTATTCTCGGCAACCTCTCCTCTCCCATCCCGCACATGCGGTACTGCCATGTCAGCTTCCTTGCGCCTCTTCCCGACCGTAGGGATTGGATCCCCAATTCTGCCCTGACGGCTGCATTACTTGTGCGCTTGGAGCATCCTAGGATGATTTTCGCTGCGTTCATCTGCGCCGCCTCGAGTTCTTTCACTACCTTCTTATTTCCTTCCCATACTTCTCCGGCGTACTCTAGCGGCGGTACGATTACGCTCTTCAAAACCGTCAATTTGATGCGTGTATCGAGGTGTCGGTTTGCGAGTATTGGGTGCAGCTTCCCTGCTCGTGCTTTGCCCTTTTCCGCTACCTTTGACATGTGTGCATTCCACGAGCAGTCGTTTGCGATCTCTACTCCGAGGTATGTGTACTGGTCCACTACTGCAATCTCCTCGATCCCCCACTTCCATCTATGTTCTACTGGGTCCTCCCTGATCTCGTTGCATACCATGACGGCACTCTTCTTGACGTTGGCAGACAATCTGCACTTATCAGTAAACTTCTTCGCCGCGTCAATTTGTAGTTGCAGTCCCTCAGGGGTGTCCGACATACCCAACAAAATCATCCGCAAACTGCATTCCTGACACCGAAGTTTCCGTGTCCCCTACTTTTACTCTCTTCCGGACTGCCTCTACGACTTCCAACAGATCATTGATGAACACCTGGAACAATGTTGGGGACAGCGTGCAACCTTGTGGGACCTCCTGCTCAATGTCGAAGAACTTAGACAGTTCTCCGTCTAGCATGACCGCGCTTTTCGTACACTCTGTCATGTTCTTCAGCACTCTCCACATTTTCCCCTCGATCTCGTACTTGGACAATTGTTTCCACAGCCCATTTCTCCATACGGTATCATATGCCTTTTTCACGTCCAGGAAGAAGCAGTACGTCGGCCTTCCCGCCCTCTTTCTACCTTGGATAATTCTCCCTACCGTGAATGCGTGGTCTACGCACCCCCTCTTCTGTCGGAAACCTGCCTGGCCCCCACTAATGCTACGTTCCTTCTCCAATACTCCCACTACCCTATCCTTCAGCAGCTTACAAAACACTTTTCCTACTGTGTTCAACAGTGTGATACTCCCCTATAGTTTCCTGGGCCAGTCTTGTTTCCTTTCTTAAACAAGTTCACAACCACTCTTCCCCTCCATCTACTTGGCGCATACTCGTTTTTCCACACCCAGTTGTACAGCAGTACCATCAGCTGGATCATCCCCTTCCCCCCAAACTTCATGAACTCGTTGACTATCCCATCCGCCCCTGCTGCTTTGTGGCACTGCAGCTTGTTCACACACGCCTCAACCTCGTCCTCAGTGAACTCCTTTTCTAGTTCTACGTTCCCAACGTTTGCCTTCGATGTCTCTTCTTCTTTCTGGGCCCATGCGTCCACCTCCTTCTTAAACACTTGGTCAAAATCTTTATTCTCCGAAGGCACTCCAAGTCTCTTGTAGTGTCCTGCTAGAACTTCCCTTTTTCCCTTCCCACTGCTGACTAGTCCACCGTTCACACCTCGCAAAGTTGCTACCCCTGTATCCCCCCCTTGCGCGGTCTTTTTTACCATCCCACTAATCCCTTCCCACATCTGCGTGGTGTTCCCCTCCAGGCCTCCGTTGGCCTTCTGCACTACTTCGTCCCAAATGCACTTTTTCTTCTTTTTCACTAGTCCCTTCACCTGTTTCCTCTTGGCCCTGTATTTTTCCCAACTCTCCTCAGACCCCTCACTCAGATACTGCTTGAAGACTTCTCTAGGTTCCCCCATTTCTTCTTTCAGCTCGTCATCCCACCACTTAACCGATACCCCACATCGTACCACCTTCTTTCCCACTACTCTCTCTGCCGTTGTGTTCACTATGGACTCCCATCCTTCAATCACCCTGTCCCCTGCTGCTTGTACGTCTCCCTGTCCGTCTTCGACGCTTCTCAGCAGTTTCCTGAAGGGTTCTACACTACCAGCCAGTCCCTTCTGGAATTCATCCCGTGTCCCCTCGTCTCCCAAACGCTCTACTTTCCACCGGAACACTTTCCTCTGTTTCTTACTCTCCGTCTTTCTAGATCGGTCGATGTTTGCCCGTATGAGGAAGTGGTCGGTCGAACCTATATCTATTGCACTAACGTGCAGCTCTGGGATCTGTGTGCTCCCCCTATCTACCAGGATGTAGTCGAGGATCGAGTATTCATTGCAAACTGCCCTTTGCCTGGTGAACTCCGGCTTTTCGCATTCCCTCCTACCGTTCAACACCATCAGCTCGTTGCTTCCCAAGAATTCAAGCATCCTCTCGCGGGGGGGGGGGGGAGGGGAGGGTTCAAGCTCGATGCAGTCCAAGGGCCCCCTCCTCTATATATGTCTACAACTCCGTACTTGCGAAGAAACGGTACCTTCTTTCAAATCCATTCCAAGGTTGTTGCCTACGCGCTCCGTAACGGAGGGTGGTGACCATCACCTTCAGTATTGCCAACCATTGCATCGTGACCCACAGCCATTGCATCGATAAAAGTTCAAGAAATTGATAACGGCAAAACCAGCAGTACTGCTTTCAAAAGTCGAGCCCCTTGTTATTGAAGGCAGGCAAAAAAAAAGTTGATACTGGTCGTGCCCGCAGCTGTTACAGAAACCCGCAGTCGTTTGAAGTGGGCACGAAACGAATCTCCTTCCTACGGGGATTTCGCCGAAAGCTTGGATATTCGGGAAAACGTGACCGTCGCTGCAGGACGGACCTACCGGGAAGAGACTGCTGCATTCCGCTTCTCTCTACACCGCCCTAATGTCAATACCTCATTGTTGCCGTTCAAGGTCTAGGACGTCGTGATGGTCCGCAGAAACTATGAGGGAAAGGCCGTGTCCATTACCATATATGAGTATTGCGTTTTGAGCCCGCCTCAATGACGCGTTTCATCGTCGGCACCCTCGACCAAACGCAAAACCCTTCTGCACCCGTGACCACGTCAAGGCAGCGCCGTCAAAACCACTAAAAAAAAAAAAACGTGTCTGCTACTACAACCCACTCGGTATAAGCGGCGACAAAATGCAAGAGATACAAGGAGACTTGAGAAGCAATCGTCGTGCCAATGGTCGTGCCACCCAGAGGCGCGGCAGAGTGATATAATAGGTAGGCACTCACAGAAAGAAGCGCGTGGTCGTGCAGGGGCCGCTGTTCGCGCCACACCGGGCATGACGAAGGCCGAGGCGCCGCTAAGGAATGTCGCCGTGGTTGA